AAAACGTACCTGTCAACAAGTTTGGTGACACTTATGCTGGTTCGAGAGGATCTACTGTTATCGTGTATAAGTGCTTCCCTCCCCCTTCTGAGAAGGGAACTGCATAGTGAGCACCCCTGTGTGTGTGCATGTGTGTGTTCACTGGGGGGTGTATATGGTGGAGGATTGAAGGAGACCTCAGATCACTGCTCTTTCGGATATTTTGGAGAAGAACACGCATATGTGCATATGACTACACGTGTGTGTTCACCACATGATCTTTGCTGCACCTATTTTTGTCATTTTTATTTTTTTCTGGTTATTTTTATTATTTATGCAATAAGGAGTTGCACATATTCATCCGTGTAAAGGGCTAAGCACATTGGTGAGACTGAATGTGCGATTAATATATTTAAAACAACAGAAAAAAAACATAAACAGCGCTCTCGGATGGGGAAGGCTAACTAACAGACATGCATGCAGCCCTAGGAAACAGGACGAGAACCTGTAAATGCAGATCAACAAAGGAACACAAACTTCCCCAGGTAGCACACCAGCCAGATTCGGGCATACACCACAAGTGTCCCGATCCTCCACACAGGCCGCCCATCTCCTGATCCCTGGATCCACATGTAAGTGCCATTACATTGATTCTCTGCTATATTTTGTCCAATTAGCCAGTGCTCCATTGTTGTTGTGGCGCCCTTTGTGTTCCTTTGTTGATTAATATATTTATGACATTTGTTGTATTCACACATTTTTACTGATTTTATACACACTGAGAAGTTTTCTATTTATTAGCTTGGCACATATTTTATATATTTATTGTATTACACTTGGTGTAATCAGAGTGCTTAGAAGCTTTCACCATTAACTTATTGGCACAGATCACTGTTCTGTTAATATTACTGCTTGTTACTGCCGTTGGTCGTCTTCCATTTTCCAAACTTCCTGGTTGCGGGTGGGGGTGGATACTGAGAGCAGATACTGTGTGTCTATGAATGCACGCAGCTACTGCAGGCATGGCCGGGAACGACCGTACACGGGTGCCTCCACAGCAGCCGCTTGTATAATAGTGGCACCCTTGCAGGGGGCAGGAGGTAGAGCGATCAGGATCAGATTATACTCCTTTTCTCCGTAACCAAGACCCATTCTTTCACAAATGTTTGTAGAAGCAGTCTGCATGCCTAGGTGCTTGATTTTATACACCTGTGACCATGGAGGTGATTGGAACACCTGAATCAAATGGTTAGGAGTCTGGGGACCAATGTAGTGTATTAAAGTTTTTTTTGTATTTAACCGTGCTGAGAAGCCTTTCTCATTGGTTAGCATGGTCAAGTTGTGAATGCTCACAATTTGCAAGCAAAATTCAAAATCCATGGTGCAGGGCTGCACTGGATGGCAGTATGTGGTACAGAGGTACCAATAGTACACCCGAATCGGCAGAGGAGACAGACTGTTCAAAAGAAAGTTAAGTATAACAGAAAGGGCAATAATTGAGCGGGTAATTCAGTTTCCCATAATTACTTGGGCTGAACTTACCCTCCAATGCACATTGTGTGTGTGTTAGCGCTGCTGCCTGGCTACCACAAGATGGCACACAATGGAATGGGGGCAGCACTCAGCGCACACACAATGCCCTATATGTGCGTTTATTTGCATGCAGTTGGCGGTGACGATGGGGTTGGTTTTAATTTTTTTAAATTTATTGTATTCATTTTCACTTTATTGCTATCGCACAGGGGAGAACAAGCCCCTATGTGATGATTTTTGGAGGTGACAGGTTCTCTTTATGGAGAAATCTGGGGTCTTAAGGTGCCCATACACTGCTCGATTCTCGTACGAGAATCGCGGGAAATCGAGCAGTGTGAACAAAGACGTGCGACCGTTTCTACTGTACGGTCGCACGTCTTTTGTCGAACCAACATGCTCGAAAACCCGCCGAGAATCGTACAATTGTCGGTGGGTTTCTAGCCTGCTCGTCCGATAGCTGCGGGACGGGCCGGTGTGCGCACGCGCACACTGCCGTTCTGCATTGCGGTCATCGGAAGCCCGCCCTTCAACGGGGCGGGCTTTCGATGATCGCAAGTACGATCTGCCCGTCCAAGGTGGGCAGATCGTACAAGCTTTCAATAAGCATACGACCATCGCATGACAAAAGTCTTGCGATGGTCGTAAGGTGTATGGGCATCTTAACAGACCTCAGATGTCTCCCTATTAGACTCCAGTACAGAAAATTGATCACAGCATTGTATTTGATCTCCTGTGCAGCTCTGATTGTGACAGCTGAGCACAGCACTCATATCTCACTGATCACAAAGAGCAGATTGGAGAACGGACGTTCTCTGGTCTGCTCCACGTGAAGTTAGGCTGCAGAAATCTCCCAAATAAAGAAAAACTTGACAGCAGTTTTAACCCTGCCCTACTCTATTTAAATTAAGTTAAAAAAAAAGTTTTGCCTTTGGATGTTCTTTTTTTTACCTTTTTTTGGGCATATTTTTTTCTGACAGATAAGATTGTTTTTGTTGTACTTATTTTTTTAAATATATAAGACATATAATTCTGTTTATTTTATGTGTATTGTTTGGGGATCATGTAGAGTTATTTGTGCATACAATGTTTCTTGTGGAAGAACAAGTGTAAATGTCTGTAATTTTATCAACTTTTTTGTGCATTCCAATTTTGTTTCCTTCATTTTTTTGTTTTTCATTTGGAATTTAGAACCGTTATCTACATGACATGGGTTGGAGGATAAAAGCTACATCAAAACCATTACTTACAAATTACTGTTACTACAATGATTACTCTGACCAATGCTTCAGCTTTTACTGGGAGAGTTTATTGCATGAACTGTTAGCTGTAAAGTATCTCAGTGTAAGAATCAGGTCAGTCTGTGTTGTTTTTTATGTTGACTACCATCTCTTTGTTTTTCTAATTGTAACTGCAGGCCAACAGTGACCGTCCTTTTGTACAAAAATTATTTCGACCTGTTGCCAGTGATGGAAATCTAAACACGTTTGGAGATTTAATAAAGGAGGTTTACCCTGCGGCCCTACCACCTGAAGGTAAATCTTTAATGATCTAGAGTCTTCCTATCTGGTTTCTGGCTATCTGGTGACATACAGTCATGATACATTTAACATTTTTCATTCTGCATTTAGAGTTACAAATGTTTGTAAAAGTGTTCTTTTTTTATTTTTGATGAATTGTTATCAAAAGTAACATCTTTGGTGTCAATTTAGCCATATAGGAACAAAACATTTTATTTCCCACTATCCAGGTAATCGATGCCGATAGCATACACAGTTCCTTTCTTTAATGTGGAACTACAGCCAAAACAGTTTTTAGTGTTGCATAGTGTAAGAAGGGTTAGCATCTATGCCAATGTTTCAATGTTATGTGTCCTCCATTAGAAGATTTTATCTTCCTTTGTCACTAGGACAGAAAGTCAGGTGTAAAAAAGCAGACTGGCGGTCACTGCTCTCTGCAGGGAGATGATCGGAAAATGAGTGAACGACGTATGCGTCAATGGCACTGTGTCAGACCTCTGATCTGTATGGTCAAAATCTTTGACTAGGAACCCTGAGTCCATCTTAATGGACCCAGCCACTCTTAAACAACTAGATCTTTTTCCTGTGGCTCTGTGCTAAAGCATTGATGGTCTGGCAGATACTTTGACACATCTCCAGGGTGAATTTCCCATCTATCCACGTGCGACAGATCCTATAGCTTAATTGCTGGTCCGTGGAACTTCCATTCAAAAAGCACCTGCCTTTTGCTGTGGAAGTCACAGGGGAAAAGAGCACCTTCTTACCCCAGATGAAGAAGTTGTCCAACCCTTTGGTAGCAAAATCCTCTCTTCCCATTCTAATGAAATTCCTGGCACTCCAAGCCCTCCAAACTTGGGAACAATTAAAGGGCACCCCCACCTAAAATTGCAAGGGGGACTTCTGTCAGCCTTTTCATATTCATGGTTCCAGGACATTCTTGATGCATAGATCCAGAGCATCATAACCACGGGTTACAAACTGGGATTTAGAAAATAATACCATTTTGACTGTGCTCTAGGACAGCGGTGGTGAACCTATGGCACGTGGGGCCCTGTTTGCTGACACGCGAGCCCAGGTCCGCCATACTGCTTCACTGATGGGCACGCAGGTGCAGAAAAGATCTTCGGAGATGCCATGGTCTGATGCCGTGCAGGTGCACTGAGGGGGTCCTAGAACACCACGAGGAGAGGAGCCGCGCAGGCGCAGTGACTTCAACGACTGACACGAGGTATCTGGGTGGCCTACGCGCACTAGCCCTGGTGCCATAACCTCATAGGAGAGCCAGGCAACCCTGCATATTAGATGGCCACTAGCTGGGGCCTTTCAGGGCCCTAGCCAACAGCGAGAAAGCCGCATCTGGCCTTGAGATGCCCCTAGGAGCTGCACAGCCCCCCTTACAGCCCACTTAAGAACACTTATAGATGACCTGGAAGCTGCACTTGCCCCAGAGCCCACCTAAGAACCCTTATAGATCACCTGGAAGCTGCACAGCCCCCCGAGAATCCATACAAACCCCCTCAGAGCCCATCTAAGAGCCCTCATAGACCACTTAAGAACAGCACAGCCTCCCTGAGAGGCAATACACAGCACCTTTGAGCCCACTTAAGAGCCATTATAGACCACCTGGAAGCTGCACAGCCCCCCGGGAGCCCATGCAGACCACCTCAGAGCCCACCTAAGTGCCCTTATAGACCACCTGGAAGCTGCATCAGCCCCCTAAGAACCAATTCACACCACCCGAGTGATTGTGGAGACCACCTGAGAGCCGTACAGGCCGCCACCTCATGGCCCGCAGAGCCCGTCTGAGAGTTGTTATAGACCACCTGGGAGCCCTTATAGACTACCTCAGAGCCGCACAGCCCCCTGAATGCCCATACAGACCACCTCAGAGCCTGCAGAGCTCACCTGAGAGCCCTTATAGACCACCTCAGAGCCTGCAGAGCTCACCTGAGAGCCCTTATAGACCACCTCAGAGCCTGCAGAGCTCACCTGAGAGCCCTTATAGACTACCTCAGAGCTGCACAGCCCCGAGAGCCCATGCAGACCACTGCAGAGCTCATCTTAGAGCCCTTATGGACTGCCTGAAAAGAGCACAGCCGGTCTGAGAGCCGCACAGCCTCCCTGAGAGCCAATACACCCCACCTGAGTGACTGTAGACTGCTACTTGTTGTAGTTGCTGTGCATAGTGATAATTGACAGCAATGACGTGGCTGGGGGGTAGAACAATCCATGCAGAGAGGTAGGCATGACATTGGCAGGCAGAAATGACAGCCCCCAAATAGGTACATTTTATGTAATTGTTAAGCCACATACATAGGGCCCACTGGGGGATCCTTTGGTGCTTCAGTGGCCCAGTCTACCCCTGCATAATAATCATATGCAGATTACAGCAAGATGAAGCTAATTTTCTAAAGGGACTCATCAGATATGTGTATGAAGAAAATAATCAGTAAATGTAAATTTGTAGCAACATTTGTGTGATGGAAGAGGACCTGCCTTTAAAGAGGAACTTTACCCATATCTTCAAAATAACAACAAAGACACCTTCAGAAATGTTTAGTAATGACAATCAACAAACATATACTTCTAGATAACTGCAGGCTTTGTAATTTTTGCATAACTTATTTTTCCTTTTCTTCCCCAGTCTTCTGACAGTGGCCATTTTAACTAAGGGCAGGTCATTAGATCTCCCTTTATTTCCTGGAACTCTGGCACATGTGACCAGGACATGTGAACACGCACATCATCTCAGGGGACAAAAATGCCTTTACCTGAGATCTCATGAGATTTCAGATGAGATTTCCCAGCAATGCACTGCTGATGTAACTTTCCCAGGATACAATGCTTGGGCACAATTACATAATTTGTGCCAAAGTGAACCAGGAGGTGGGGAAAAAAAAGAAATTGTAGGTAAAATAAAAATATGTTTGTTTAGCTAATGAATGTAAGATGATTCCATATCAGCATGCAGAGCTGTATGCTGATGTGATTTGTAGTTAAAGGGGGTAAAAGTCCACTTTAAAGCTTATACACGATATGCAGTTTTGTTTATTACACTGTAGTATGGCAAGCTTTTTTGAATAATTGTGGTTCTTCTCCTGAAATTATCAAAGACCAAAGCTCTCAGTATCTACGGGACAAAAAAGAAACTCTTCAAAAGTGTTTACATTGACAGAGTATCACTTTATATCACAGCAGGTTCAGTTATTAAGAATAGGTAAGGATTGTCTGTGAAGACACCTGCCTGAGGTCTGACATAAGGGAAACCACAGACACTTAAGCATCTAAAGCTTACAAAACATAGAAACTGCATAGAAGAAAGCACTGTGCCGGGGATCAACATGGACTTTTCTTGTCAATAATTGACAGGCTATAGGGGTGGAGCAAGGGACAAGTAAAACACAGACACAGGGTACCTGCAGCTTCATGTGTATGAAAAGGCAGCTATTATAGGCTTCTCTTTGAAGATTTAGAACAGGTAAGATATTTCACTTTGGCAGATGAAAGAAGGCTTTTATTATCCTTTCTGTTTGAAGATCTGAATATTATCACCTCCTTTAATTTCTTGGCAAGCAGAACCCCTCTTTTGTTTTTTGTTTTTTTAATCTCTCATGTTTCACCTTGTTTGGGTCAAAACTGTTTTGGAGAAAAATAAACAAAAGTTTAGAGCACATCATTGCAGAGAACATTTTGCTATATAAATACTGTATTATATAGGTTGCAGTACATTAACATGTATATGTAAGACTAAAATGGGTGGGATTAAAAAGTATTTTAGTAGGATGATACATTTCCTATCTCAGTGAAACAGATGAGCAATCTACTTTTATATAATACACGTTAATTGAATAGTATATGTCTCCCGTCATCTTAAATTTTTGGCAGGTTTTCTCGTTTTTTTTCATTGTTCTGCATAAATAGTGAAGAATTAAAATTTCTGTCAGGCTTTTATTTGTCTGGCACCCCATTGGATAGATTTCCCCTTACTTCCTTGTGACACCTGTATGAGGAAGAGGCAATGTAGTTGTCACTAGACAACAATACAAATATTGTTTGATCACTCATCTAAAAAACACGGTGGTGTGAACTGTGCCCACCTGTGACAAGGCAAATTGCCTTGTCATGCATTTGGGCTTCATTGGCAAAAATCCTGAACACATATGATGTGAACAGGCCCTTAGATGAACTGAGAGTTTATCTATCATCTAGTTGAGGACACTGGGTGTACTACTACACGCCCAAAATAACTTCATCAAAATACACAGAGCATATCTTGTGCTTCTGCCCAGCTGCCACTCTCCACGGACTATTCTTGGCTGTCAGAATGGTAGCCGCAAGTTGCTGTGTAATTCTGCTGCTGACAAAAAACAAACTCTCCCTCACAGTGTTTATAAACACTCTTCAGACGCAAAATAGATACAAAGTAACATTGCTTCATTCATCTGCAGATCAAAGGGATCTTTGGAGCTTCAATCTGCACACATGATGTCCGTAAAAGTAACCTGACAAATAAAAAAGATTTCTGAAAGAAAATGTCACTAAAAGAAAGCCTTATTTGCCCTAATATATCTATAGATATATATATATGTGGTTTTTTTTGTTTGTTAATGTGATCTTTTTTCTTCTACTGTCCATTTTGGATCATTATTAGCATGACTTTTTTTGTGATAATCTTTAATTGTTAGAATGTAAAGATTAGAGATTAAAAGGAAGTCAGTTTATGAATTGTTTTTAAAGGTGCAAGTTCCAGACTTGTGCTTTACCTGTTGGCAAGTCACTGACCTAAACATGTACGAATAGGGTATGATGTCAACAAGTAGTGTTGTCGAATAGGGGCGTGTTAGCCCCTTAGTTAAGTGATAAAAAAGTAAAAAATAAAATAAATAAAAATATAAACATAAAAAATAATTAAAAACGAAAAGGTGATAAAGTACAAAATAAAAAGGTAATACAAAATAATGAACAACTGTTCTGTCCAGACTGCAATTCAGTCCTCGGCTCAATAAAAATGTTAC